TCTGTGATGGCTGTAGGTGATATACACTATAAGTTATGTTCTGTGTTGGTTGTAGGTGATATACACTGTAAGTTATGTTCTGTGATGTCTGTAGGTGATATACACTATAAGTTATGGTCTGTGATGGCTGTAGGTGATATACATTATAAGTTATGTTCTGTGATGGCTGTAGGTAATATACACTCTAAGTTATGTTCTGTGATGGTTGTAGGTGATATACACTATAAGTTATGTTCTGTGATGGTTGTAGGTGATATACACTATAAGTTATGTTCTGTGATGGCTGTGGGTGATATACACTATAAGTTATGGTCTGTGAAGGTGAAGACCTGTGGTGAGCTACAGATAATATAATTTCTGTTCTGTTTAGGTGAAGACCTTTGGTGAGCTACAGATAATATAATTTCTGTTCTGTGTAGGTGAAGACCTATGGTGAGCTACAGATACCAGACCCAGACAAGATCAAGGATTTACTAAACAAACTGGTTGTGGTGAAGCTGAATGGCGGCCTGGGCACAAGCATGGGTTGTACTGGCCCAAAAAGTGCCATCAGTGTCAGAAATGAACTGACCTTCCTAGACCTGACTGTCCAGCAGATTGAGGTAAGAAAGTCTATCCACCTATTCAAACTAGACAGGATACAGTTACGTAATCTTTTTTACAAACTGGCTTTGTTCATTACAGATCCCAGTTTTACGTTTGTCTGCTCCATTGCCTTTTCAAAATAGGTCTACCAAACTTGGTACAGAAAGGTCGTGTGAAGGCTTCAATCATATCAATAGTTACTTCCTCATTGAATGCTAAGTATGAATCCATTTCACTACTACATCAAACAGAGGAAGTTCTATAGAGTTGTGGGGTGTGGTGTTACTTGTGGTATGACATATCAGAGATGAAGTTCTATAGAGTTGTGTGGTGTGGTGTTACTTGTGGTATGACATATCAGAGATGAAGTTCTATAGAGTTGTGTGGTGTGGTGTTACTTGTGGTATGACATATCAGAGATGAAGTTCTATAGAGTTGTGTGGTGTGGTGTTACTTGTGGTATGACATATCAGAGATGAAGTTCTATAGAGTTGTGTGGTGTGGTGTTACTTGTGGTATGACATATCAGAGATGAAGTTCTATAGAGTTGTGTGGTGTGGTGTTACTTGTGGTATGACATATCAGAGATGAAGTTCTATAGAGTTGTGTGGTGTGGTGTTACTTGTGGTATGACATATCAGAGATGAAGTTCTATAGAGTTGTGTGGTGTGGTGTTACTTGTGGTATGACATATCAGAGAGGAAGTTCTATAGAGTTGTGTGGTGTGGTGTTACTTGTGGTATGACATATCAGAGAGGAAGTTCTATATAAGTTGTGTGGTGTGGTGTTACTTGTGGTATGACATATCAGAGAGGAAGTTCTATAGAGTTGTGGGGTGTGGTGTTACTTGTGGTATGACATCTCAGAGAGGTAGTTCCATAGAGTTGTGGGGCGTGGTGTTACTTGTGGTATGACATCTCAGAGAGGTAGTTCCATAGAGTTGTGGGGCGTGGTGTTACTTGTGGTATGACATCTCAGAGAGGTAGTTCCGTAGAGGTGTGGGGTGTGGTGTTACTTGTGGTATGACATATCAGAGATGAAGTTCTATAGAGTTGTGGGGTGTGGTGTTACTTGTGGTATTACATCTCAGAGAGGTAGTTCCATAGAGTTGTGGGGTGTGGTGTTACTTGTGGTATGACATATCAGAGATGAAGTTCTATAGAGTTGTGTGGTGTGGTGTTACTTGTGGTATGACATATCAGAAATGAAGTTCTATAGAGTTGTGGGGTGTGGTGTTACTTGTGGTATGACATATCAGAGATGAAGTTCTATAGAGTTGTGTGGTGTGGTGTTACTTGTGGTTTGACATCTCAGAGAGGTAGTTCTATAGAGTTGTGGGGTGTGGTGTTACTTGTGGTATGACATATCAGAGATGAAGTTCTATAGAGTTGTGTGGTGTGGTGTTACTTGTGGTATGACATATCAGAGATTAAGTTCTATAGAGGTGTGTGGTGTGGTGTTACTTGTGGTATGACATCTCAGAGAGGAAGTTCTATAGAGTTGTGGGGTGTGGTGTTACTTGTTGTATAATGTATCAGAGAGGTAGTTCTATAAAATAGTTGGATGTGTTGAAATGTCGTTCTGGTATTAAATTTTAGTGATAAAGCATAAGAGATTAGGTTAAATAGTATTGCATGTCAACAGTGCTTAAATGATGACTTTTGCTTTTGTTACAAAGCTGCCAAGACTGTGAATCAAAATTTGTTAATTACTCTGTCCACAGGGTCTAGTTGGTATAGATCTGTTAAAATAGTAAAGGGTTTGAAATCAATTAAGCCCACATTGAGGAAATTGTGTAGGAAATTGTTTAATTATTTATTGATGATGTACTGTGTATGACTGGTATCTGTAATAGATTTCTAGTGTATTGACCTACTGTTATATATCTGCAGTATTTGAACAAGACATATGGCACAGATGTTCCCTTGGTGCTCATGAACTCCTTCAACACAGACGAAGACACACAGAAAATCCTCAAGAAATACGGACAAGTCCGGGTCAACATATACACCTTCCATCAGAGCAGGTATACCATGGACATCAGAAAGAGAGGCCGTGATTTAGTATACCATGGACATCAGACGGAGAGGGATATCGGCCATGATTTAGTATACCCTGACATCAGACAGAGAGGGTTATTGGTCTTGATTTAGTATAACATGGACATCAGACAGAGAGGGTTATTGGTCTTGATTTAGTAACATGGACATCATACAGAGAGGGTTATTGGCCATGATTTAGTAAACCATGGACATCAGACGGAGAGGGTTATCGGCCATGATTTAGTATACCCTGACATTAGACAGAGAGGGTTATTGGCCATGATTTAGTATACCCTGACATCAGACGGAGAGGGTTATTGGCCATGATTTAGTATACCATGGACATTAGACGGAGAGGGTTATTGGCCATGATTTAGTAAACCATGGACATCAGACGGAGAGGGTTATCGGCCATGATTTAGTATATCCTGACATTAGACGGAGAGGGTTATTGGCCATGATTTAGTATACCATGGACATCAGACGGAGAGGGTTATTGGCCATGATTAGTATACCATGGACATCAGACAGAGAGGGTTTTTGACCTTGATTTAGTATAACATGGACATCAGACAGAGGGTTATTGGTCTTGATTTAGTAACATGGACATCAGACAGAAAGGGTTATTGGCCATGATTAAGTAAACCATGGACATCAGACGGAGAGGGTTATCGGCCATGATTTAGTATGCCCTGGCATTAGACGGAGAGGGTTATTGGCCATGATTTAGTATACCATTTACATCAGATAGAGAGGGTTATTGGCCATGATTTAGTGTACCATGGACATCAGATGTGGAGAGTCATTGGCCATGATTTAGTATACCATGGACATCAGATGTGGAGAGTCATTGGCCATGATTTAGTATACCATGGACATCAGATGTGGAGAGTCATTGGCCATGATTTAGTATACCATGGACATCAGATTGGGAGAGTCATTGGCCATGATTTAGTATACCATGGACATCAGACGGAGACGGTTATTGGCCATGATTAAGTATACCATGGACATCAGATGGAGAGGGTTATTGGCCATGATTTAGTATACCATTTACATCAGATAGAGAGGGATATTGGCCATGATTTAGTATACCATGGACAACAGACAGAGAGGGTTATTGGCCATGATTTAGTATACCATTTACATCAGATAGGGAGGGTTATTGGCCATGATTTAGTATACCATTTACATCAGATAGGGAGGGTTATTGGCCATGATTTAGTATACCATTTACATCAGATAGGGAGGGTTATTGGCCATGATTTAGTATACCATTTACATCAGATAGGGAGGGTTATTGGCCATGATTTAGTATACCATTTACATCAGATAGGGAGGGTTATTGGCCATGATTTAGTATACCATTTACATCAGATAGGGAGGGTTATTGGCCATGATTTAGTATACCATTTACATCAGATAGAGAGGGATATTGGCCATGATTTAGTATACCATGGACATCAAATGGAGAGGGTTATTGGCCATGAATTAGTATACCATGGACATCAGATGGAGAGGGTTATTGGCCATGATTTAGTATACCATTTACATCAGATAGAGAGGGTTATTGGCCATGATTTAGTATACCATGGACATCAGATGTGGAGAGTCATTGGCCATGATTTAGTATACCATGGACATCAGATGGAGAGGGTTATTGGCCATGATTTAGTATACCATTTACATCAGATAGAGAGGGATATTGGCCATGATTTAGTATACCATGGACATCAGATGGAGAGGGTTATTGGCCATGATTAAGTATACCGTGGACATCAGATGGAGAGGGTTATTGGCCATGATTAAGTAAAATGTGGACATCAGATGGAGAGGGTTTTTGGCCATGATTAAGTAAAATGTGGACATCAGATGAAGAGGGTTATTGGCCATGAATTAGTATACCATGGACATCAGATGTGGAGAGTCATTGGCCATGATTTAGTATACCATGGACATCAGATGGAGATTGGCCATGATTAAGTAAAATGTGGACATCAGATGGAGAGGGTTATTGGCCATGAATTAGTATACCATGGACATCAGACAGAGAGGGTTATTGGCCATGATTAAGTATACCGTGGACATCAGATGGAGAGGGTTATTTGCCATGAATTAGTATACCATGGACTGATCAGATGGAGAGGGATATTGGCCATGATAAAGTAAAATGTGGACATCAGATGGAGAGGGTTATTTGCCATGAATTAGTATACCATGGACTGATCAGATGGAGAGGGTTATTGGCCATGATAAAGTAAAATGTGGACATCAGACGGAGAGGGTTATTGGCCATGATTAAGTAAAATGTGGACATCAGACGGAGAGGGTTATTGGCCATGATGTAGTATACCATGGACATCAGATGGAGAGGGTTATTGGCCATGATTTAGTATACCATGGACATCAGATGGAGAGGGTTATTGACCATGATTTAGTATACCATTAACATCAGACGGAGAGTGTTATTGGCAATGATTTGTTAAACGTGGACATCAGATGGAGAGGGTTATTTGCCATGAATTAGTATACCATGGACATCAGATGGAGAGGGTTATTGGCAATGATTTGTTAAACGTGGACATCAGACAGAGAGGGTTATTAGCCATGCTTTTGTTAAACGTGGACATCAGACGGAGAATTATTGGCCATAATTTTGGGGGATTATTATACAACGAAAAATATTTCTATTGCACTAAGTCTAATAAAAGTGGTGTCCAAAAACATGTTTAATGAAGTTGGAGACTAAGTTTTTTTCTACACCAGACATCTACCAGTTGTGAGATCGGTGGGCGGCTGTACTGCCGGTCATACATAAATCATATTGTCAGTAATGATTTCAGTATAAAGTTTTATTTGCTTAATTGTCATGATTTTAATATGACCGAAGCCTATTCTGTAGTTTTCAATGGGGCCATTGGTAAGGCTGTTACCATAAGGAAAGAACCTCAATTTGTAGCTCACCTGAGAAGGAAGTGACTGTGAGCTAATGTGACATCCCTCATCTGTCCATCTCCCATCCGTTTACTGTATGTTCGTCCATCTCTGTTGTTGGACTCCTATCCTGACTCATATTGCTGTCATTTGAATAACAGCAAATAATCAATTTGAGTGATTAATATAAGTTGAAATAACTTCTTTCATAATTGAGGTAAAATAAGTAAAGTTTATATTTTTATTTGGTTAACATGAAACTTTGTACACTCTGAAATTGTTAATTTTTTCAATCCCGTTATTTATATTTATTACATACTTCCTAATAAATACGGGTTTTTTGTATATGCAATACGACACAATTGCTCTAACCCATATCAGCCCTCGCCGTATCACACCCCAAAACCTGTATCAGCCCCCGCCGTATCACACCCCTAAACCCATATCAGCCCGCAAAACCCATATCACACCCCATTTGGAAAAAAAATCGTTTTTCAATATTTCAAAAATTAAAATAAATCATAAGATAGTAGTTTTTATTAGTAAGTATGTAATAAACAGAATAAAACACACCTTTTTCCATATCACACCCAGTATCACCCCTCGACCAATATCAGCCCGCGGGCCTTCGGCCCTTGGGCTGATATTGCAGTCTCGGGTTGATACTGGATGTGATATGGAAAAAGGCATGTATTATTCTCTATAGAAGATATCCTCCTTTTTGCAATATCGTGGTCAAATCTTGTCTGTACAGCTCCTAGAGTTTTCATCAAATTTTATGAAAATTTTACAGATATAATAAACACTTGGAATTAAGTTATGCATTTATATTGAACTGTTTTGGTTAGGTTTATTAGTCCCCCACCGGGAAACGGGGGGG